GCCGTCCTAGCAGCCCCGCAGCACCCCCCTCCACCCATATTTCCGCCCCCCCGCCCCCTTCACTCGTGCAGGCTTGAAGAAAGAGAATATCTCTGTTCATCGCACGCAACCTGGGTTAGAGAGGTTTTAGGTGAAATTAGCAGAAAAACATTGGAAGAAACAAAAAAGAATAAAGTAACAAGAAGATGGAATAAAGAATTCTTTTGAGGTCCAGTCTTTTGGGACAAAAATTAATTAGGTTCAATTCAAGCACTTTACCCACTGTTTCACTAAACCAAACAAACAACACATCAAAACAACATGGTGCAAAATAATGATGAATAAACTCAGAAAAAAATCAAAATTGACATTCTTTGAAATCATCTTGACAGCTAAAACAGTTCAAGGTACATTTTGTGTATGGCACATTTCTCATTTCACCAGGTTTCAGTCTTTGAACAAGCAGCATTCAATGACCTTATATCTGGCCTGTATCTTGTGTTCCACTGTCATGTGCAGAAGTACAGGAAAGCAGGCAGGATCCAATCGCAGCACTCGACAGCTTAAGTGCAAAAGTCATTGCTATTGATGCTAAGTACAAATGAAAATCCAACAGATTCAACAGAACACAGGCCAGGCAGGATCGAAGGAGAAACAAGGAGAAGCAGATAAAAAAAAAGCACAAGGAAACTGACCTGGAAGAGTGGAACATGGAGAAGACATGACCAAGACAGGAACGACACAGGAATCCTAATCCAACAATGACAATGATTCAACCAAGACAGAGGGGTGAAACAGGCAGCTACACCCAGGACACAGGTGATCCTAATGAACTAATTAACCTGGAGAGAGACAGACAGGAGGCAGGGCTGGCCTGACAGCTACAAAGCTACAAGCTACAAATAGACACTACATTAGTGTCTGTAGTGTGTGTAAATATGTTTGTCAGTTTGGAGAATTCTTTTACTCTTCTGTAACGATGGATGTGATGAGATAATACTGCCTAAGTTGTTGTTTCCGTTCTTGTTTTTTCAGATGATGCCAGTCATTACAGTGAAACATGTTGAGGAGCCTTTTTTAAGCTGGCAGCAGATTGAATTTCACTGCTCGGAGCACAACAAGGTTTCCTGTTTCCCCCTGTTTGCAGCCTTTGTTTGCCATTTGTTACAGTGTTTTGTACAGATTTATTTTTCTTTTTTTTTTCCATCTCTTGCTGTTCTCCCGCCGCTGCAGGGAACGGAACTTGTTGAAATCAAAGCAATGTGTTAACGTTGGCTTCAAAACTGTGAAGTTGCAAAAAGTAGGGATATTCTGCTGTCTTCCTAAAATCTCACCTAGCGTTCATAGCTGGACTCTTCAGTAAATAACCTGTGTTCAAAGACTAAAGCTGTGATGTCTCTGAAAGAATGATTTACATTCTTTTGGGGGAAAAAAGAAAACAATCCTGTCGATTTAAGGGAAAATCTTTTTCATGTGCATTTTTCCATGACATGCTGCAGAATCTGACTCTTATTTTCTGATTGGTACGGATTTGCTGTAACTTGCTCCTCTGACCACCGAAACCATCGCATCAAGACACTGGTTACCTGACAACTTCAAAGACACACTCATACACACACTCACACACTCACACACCTCCCACATGTCTTCTTAAAACACACATCTTTCATACACTAATGACACTCCACGGTGATGAGATCGACACAGAGCAGGGTGGGGAAGATTAGTGAGCTGACACACATTCCTAGCAGTTGATGTCAATGCACAATCACATTAAATGCTCGATATAATGTTACTAACCCAAATCTGAACCACTTGTACAACGTGAGAGCTGATATGCTTGGACCAGGGTGGTCCCCAACTGGCTGACCTGCGGGGTCAAAATCATAACTCCTGTGTAGAAATTCCTCAGACCTGGTCCGAGGAGAACCCTGCCAAGGTGAGAAGTGGACCGGGATTCCTTTGTTTCCAGACTCGGGAAGGAATACAAGGCAAATGACTGGTTCACAAGGCTCCTGACCAAAAGGCCACATTCCAGTCATTCCCTTCTCAGACACCGAGATCCTGGTGAGATTACAAAGGACAAATGTCCTCTCAACAGTCTGTGTGGCAGGAACAGGGGGCTTATCAAACACTTAGACACTTTGATAACATTGTTGTTGTGTTTTTCTTGTTGTGGCTTGACCTCCCCTTGAATCATTTTTTTATAAGACCCAGTGTAGTTGAATCCTCTGAAAGTCACCACAACTTCAATCTGAGTCAGATGTTTTAGCAGAAAAACAAGGCTTTGAATTGTGTGTGTGTGTACATATAAGTCTGGAGGTCACATGATCTGCGCTGCAGTAAACAGTAGGCCTCGGCTCCACAGAGCCCCAGTTACAGGTAAAAGAAGAAAACTTCTTCTATGGATATGTCATTGTCGTCACCTTTGAGTAACTCCTCCGGTTCAACTATGCAGACAGTTTGGCTCTGTTTGCTCTGTTTTTGAAAGCCATTATCGGACATTTCTGCCTCCTCCCTCAGAATTATAAATGAATGGAAATTGTGTTACGATGGTCTCATGGCCACAAATATGTCTCCATTGATAAATATCTCGCATGTTTTTGGATTGTACGCAAAATAACTAAGAATAAGTCAGAGGAAAAAGTTTTCCCAGTGGGTTGTCTAATAAATATTACGAAACACCGTCAGGTCAAATGACAATAGACTAATTTAAAGTCTGCAGACTGTAGACATCATTAGCAGAACATTACATAACTGTACTTCAGAAGAGAGTTTGGGGGTAATTGGAGTCATTAGTGTAATTAAGGGTGCACTTAGCTTTAATGGCTTGAATGATTCTCTATGAAAATCAAATGTATGAGGAAAAAAACATTAATGCCTGTCAAATAATATTCATGTACAGTAATGTATGTAATTATCTACAAGTCTTTTCATCAGTTTAAAAAACGATAAATGAATGGATTACTTAAAGACAGCGACACAAAAGCCAGGAGTCTGACACAGATTCAGACTGAGGTCGTTCTCACTCTTCTGACACAGTAACCCTCTTGTCTTCTCTCTTCTCAGGCAATAAGTGGGCACTGGTGTTACTGGCCTTTGTGACCCTTTTGTCTCAAAGGGTCAGCGCCCACTCACACAGCGCTGATTGACTTGCACCAGGTGCGCATTCTTCATATTGACGCAGTTATTTACTTTTCTGTGATTCACATCCAAAAATGGTTTTATCCGCAGTGTTTTTCTGAATAAAGCAGCTGCCTAAACAGGAAAATCAATTTGTGTGCATGGCACGCTGAGCACAAATGCTTCCTGTGACACGTCTCAGTGAAATGTCCGTTGGATTCCCCCCCGACCCAGAGAAGCTGGACTCTCGCTTCAGCTATCCCGCAGCGTAGGACAGTGACATTGAAGACGATCTCACCCCAATTAACCTGTGTCTTCACTGGATGGAGATTCAGCGTGTGATGAAAAGTCAGCTTAATTTCCCCGGTGTAAACACGGCAATTACTGCAGGGACACTTATAACCACAGGGCCTTCAGCGGTGCGCCTGTGTTTTACTTCCTTTCTCACACCAGTCATTTGTCTTTCAGTCAGCTACGACCATGGGTGGAGCCGCTTCTTCCTGTGCGATGGCAGAAAAGGCTGAAGGGGTTAAACGGAGCCCACTGACCCACATAAACAAGCACTCTCATTCATAGCCCCCTGAAACTCGTTCATTACTAAAGCCTGACTCATAGGTGTTCAAACAGCAACCGATCACCCCCCCCCCCCACCCCCCCCCCCCCCCCCCCCCCCCCCCCACACCCTCTCCCCCCCTCCCCCGCAGCTCTCCTCCACCAACACCACTCCGGACCCATCACAACAGCTCAACTCCCCTCCCTCACCATTCAACCACTTCAGAGAAGCCCTCTCTCTCCCTCTCTCTCCCTCACGCTCCTCCCCTCTGTGTAAACACCAGCCGTAGACATCACACACAATCGTGTTGCGCTGCATCCTGTGTACACACTCACGTGCACGGACACGCTCAGTGTTTCCTTTACGGCGTGCACACACGTACACACCCCGGGAGAGGAGGTCGACATAACTCTTCCTCCAAGAATGCACCAGTAGTTTATGTTGCCGTTGGAAAGCGAGAGAGGCATCTTGTGTGAGCTCAGATGAGCAATTATCCTTTTCAGCACGCAGACAAAAAAAAAAAAGAGGCCTTTTTTCTGGGAACGTGCCTCCCACCAATAATTCTCCAGGCAGCCCGCAGGAGTACAGCGGCGTTTGCACTAAATAGGCAAATGTTGATCTGTCACCCTGTAGGAATGCGTTATTTTTACCAAGACTATTTTTACCTCCACTTACTTCCATGGCGCCAAGTAATAACTTTTTGTGTTCGGAGACATAAAACGCAACCAGAAAAGGTTCTTGAGGTATCGGTTTTCAGATGTTATTGCGCCTCGCATGCGAGGTACCTCAGCCGCAGTATTATGTCTTGGATTGGGACTCATTTGTTTTACGGCCCCGGCCTACTAGATGTGGTGACATAATGTGAAGGCATGCTATTATCAACACAGAGGAAATTTAATATCACAGAACATCTAAAGACAGAAAGAAAAAAAACACAACTAATATAGACATCTGTTTGTTTCAAATTATGACAGACTCTTAACTTTGTTTGAAGAAGTTTATATAGGGGTTTATAGATGTGGATTTGGGGGGTGGTGTCAAAGCGGTCTCTCCATTGTAACCAATTACACTCATATCAACGTTTATGAAGGCTAGACATAAACAATCAGGAGTGTAATCTTAAGTCGGCCCAACTCTTCACTCCCATACGTAAACTCAAATGTGTATGTGAGAGCAACACACAGAAGCTTGTAACACACAAACACACATCTTGGCACCGGCAGCAGCAGCCAGTCCTTCCTCTGCCTCTCCTGATAGACAGTGTTTACTGGATTCTCGCACTGATCAACGGAGCCGCCTTGGTCAACATGTCAGCAGCCGGGCTGTTTATGTGGTCCTTGTCTGGTGAAGGTTTTTCTCTGTGATCACTGTTTACATCAGCTCAAATCTCCCCTGTCTCTTTTGCTTGTCTGCGTGTGTGCATTCTTGTTTTGTTGCGATCATTTTTTTTGGCAAATTATTGATTTTAGAACCGCAGGTTCTGGTGAGGGCCAAATGAACTAATGAGCTCATTTTTGGGTGTCGGCTCAAGTTAGGGGAATTCTGATTCTCTAAGTTGAACACAGGTATGCATGTGTGTGAATGTTCTAGATGTTTGTCGCTATATGTAGACTGTTGAACCATCCATTGGCTGGCAGAATTAATGGAGTGCAAAATCCTGTTCTAAATGGCTGTAGTTGCATGGGTTTATGGGAAGATAATTTTAATTTCAGTTCTGATTGAAAAAACTGTGAAGTTGATTCAGACAAATGTTTTTTGTAAATCCGGGCTGTACACATAAAATAAATGCAGAGAACAAATTTCAATTCTACCTTTGCCTGTTGACTGCTGGGGTTGGTTCCACCATCGCTGCTCCCTACAAATTGACGAATGAACCACTTTCAGCTTACACTGTTATTATACTGGATGCCCTCTCTGAAGCAGCCCACGCTAGAATTTGGGCAGTATCAAACTAGCAACCTTATGCATTGCAGAATTGATTTATAGAAAAGAACTAGCTACTACTTATGGGACAGATGCCACCTGCAGGGGAGGATGAGGAGTGACATGGGTTAGAGAATATCACAGTGGGATCACCAACTGGGTACAGTTGATGTTGGGTTCATATCAGGCTGTGTGTGTAAATGG